CCGCGCACCTCCCAGCCCAGCCCCCAGGCCCCCAGCACGGGGCTCTCCCAGTTGTCCTCCACGAAGCGCACGTCGTGGGCGCGCGTGTCCACGCCCAGCGCCGCCAGCGAGCCCAGGTACAGCTCCTGCGGGTTGCCGGGGTCGGGCTTGAGGATGACCTGCGGGCGGGGGTGGTGTGTGTGTGTGTGTATGTGTGTGTGTGCGTGTGCAGGGACGGTCAGGCGCACTGTGGTGGGGAGGCAGCCAGCGCAGGAGTGGGCATGGAGCGGAAAGGCGGGCCCGCAGGCCCTGCCGGCGGCCCAACCCTACAGCCCCCCCGGCCGCTGCCGCCGGCCGCTTGCCGGCCGTGTCGCCCTCCCCACCCCGCCCCCGGACCGCTACCCAGTCTCTGCCACGGCGTCTGCCCCCCCACCTGGAACTGCGTGTGCCGCTGCACGCGGTTGGGGTTGTCGCCGTAGCGGGAGTCGTCTGGGCGCACAGACGGCTCGGCATATGCCACGCTCCAGGGCTCCGGGCCCAGCACCCGCAGGAAGGTGGCCGGATTCATGGTGCCAGCACCCACCTGCGGCGGCGGCAGAGGCGGGAGCAGGGCTGGCAGGCGCAGGGCCGCACGGCAGAGAGCCGGGAGGCGGGAGCGTCGCCGCCGCTGCTGCGGGGCCGCCCAGGTTGCCTGGCACGTGCCCGTCCAGCCTGCCGTTCCTCAGCGCCCAACAGCACCCAGCCTGCGCAGCCCAGTCTGGCGCACCTCGGTGTTGTGGGGCAGCCAGAGCGCGCAGCCGACGCCCGCCCAGTACTGCTGCAGGCGGGAGATGGCCTCCTGGAAGGTGGGCACCCCCGCTGGCGCCCGGGGCCCGCCGTTACTAGCTGGAGTGGATGCGGTGGGGGCCTCCACGGCTGTGGCTCGCGGCAGCGCCCTGCCGGTGGCCAGCGAGGCCCGCTGCGAGAGATGCCCAAGGTGCGGCAGCTGGCAGACGGCGGGGAGGGCGCGCAGTGTTCTGGATCCGGTAATTAGACGCTGAACCGGCAGCTGGGCTCCCGCCGCACGGCCGCACAGCCCGCTGAGACGCATTGCCGCCTGCATGTGGCAGCCTCCGCACCCCTGCATATGCCAATTGTCAGCAGCACATGCTCGGGAGTGTGGTGCGATCGTCGTGGCTGGCGCATTGTGGTGTCTCGAGCGCCCTCATCCTGCTGGCGACGGCGCCATGTCATAACGGAGCCGCCGAGGTGGCGGCCAAGACCCCAGCTGTTTGAGGAGCTTCGAGCGGAGGGGAAATGCTAGCGTTTAAACTGTAGAGCGATATGGGCTCATGTACGAAGATGAAGTGTGCGGGACTGAGGGTCGCAAGTTAACTCGGAGAATAGCGGGACACGTGGCAAACGCAGAGGTGCAGCGGAAGGAAAGGGGAGCGGAACACTTGCAGCGGAGACAAGAATATAGTCAACGGGAACATCATACAGCATCGGCGGCAGCTGTAGCGCCGACGTCGAAGCGGGCAAGGGGCCAGGCAGCGCCTCGCACCGCCCGAAGCCACGCTGGTGCCGCCCTCAGACCAAGTAGCGCAGCGCAGCCTGCTTGACCTTCCGCATGAACTCCGCCGCCTGCTCCTGTTTGGCAGCTGTGGCGCCCTCGATGTTCTGGTCCAGCAGGTCGATCATGGAGCGGTCAATCTCGTTGGCGGCTGCAGCGTGGCGGGATGGGCCGGAGGCGGGATACTGTTGGATTGGGCGGACGCTGCTTGTGAGGGAGCTGCCCGCCTGCCTGCCTGCCTGGCCGCGGTCGCTGCGTGGAGGCCGCCGACCAGCACCCAGCACCCAGCTGCGCCCCCTCACCAGCCTGCCCGACGCCAGCCACATGCCATGCCGCCGCACCACGCCACCCATCCATCACACTCCCTGCCACCCACCCGCCATCTCCAGCAGCACCGCCTTCTTGTCCTTGGCTTCCAGCAGCTTCTTCAGCCGCTCCTGGGGCGCCGCCAGGCTGGCAGCCGCCGTGTCCACCGCCTCGACAGCCGCCTGCGGGCAGGCGGGGCAGGGCGGGGGCGTGCACCGGAGCCGGCTCGGTGGACCCTGCCCAGCCGCACCGGGCACCAATGATCCAGGGGCCGCAGGAAAAATAAAGCTGCTTCTCGCTCCCTGGATCTCCTCATCTCCTGCACGCCCGGCCCTGCCACGCAGGCCGGCAGGCCGGGACCTGCTGTACAGCCCCGGCGACGGCCCAGCCTGCCTCCCTGCCTCCCCGCCGAACACCCCGGGAAGCAGCCCAGGCCCAGCTGCACAGCCCAAGCAGCAGCCCAGCCGCACACCCGACACAGCAGCCCAGCTGCACAGCGCAGGCAGCAGCCCAGCCGCACACCCCAGGCAGCAGCCGCGAGCTCACCTTGAGGTAGTCCCGCAGCGTCTCCAGCTCCGCCAGCCGCTCCTCGTCAGGCACCGTGGAGAAGCGCTCCAGGCCTGCGGGGAGGAGGCGGGCAGGGCGGGGCGGGGCGGGGCTGGGCGCGCAGCAGCACAGCCAGGCAGGCACACAAGCGGGGCTGCACCGACCACCAGTGCATCAGTCGTGCCCTGGCCGCTTGCCCAGCCAAAGCTGCCAGCCCGCCGGGGCGCCCTCTCACCACCCAGCCCCCGATAACCCAACATATCCGCAACCCAACATGTGGTAGGGTGCAAATGCAATGCATGTGAGCCCTCCTCCCACCCACCTATGCGCTTGTCCAGGTAGGCGAAGAAGTCGGGGGTGACCATGGGGCGGCACCGCGCAATCTCAAACTCCATCTCAGGAGCCTCGGTGTCCAAAAAGTACTCCACCAGGTCCTCCATCACCTCGGGCACCTTGCGTGCCTGCGCGGCGGCGGCGGCCGCAGCAGTGCAAGTGTTTTGTCTTGAACAAGGAGCTGGGGGCAAACCGTTGCGGCGGGCGTGCAACCGCAGCAGCAGCGGCGTGTGCGCATGCCGCGGGCGGCGCTCCTGCGCGTCCACGTGACGAGGCTGCGCAGCCCTCCACCGCAAGCAGCAGCAGCGCCGCGCCAGCACCCACCTCCCGCTTCTTCTGCAGGTCGAGCCGCTCCTTCTCCGCAAACTGCGCCATCTTGGCCTCGAAATCCTTGTCCCCCGCCGCCTGCTGCATGAAAATCTTGCGGTTGATCAGGCCCTCCTGCGGCCCGCTCTTGAACAGGCCCTCTGGGTCCTGCAGCCGAGAGCACAGGCAGGGAGGTCGGCGAGCGCCTGGCCTGCCATTGCGTCGCGGCGGCAGCGGCGGTGCCTGGGGATAAGGCGTCGCCCACGCGCCGCCGGCCCCACGGCATGCCATTCGGGGTGGGTGTGCGTCTCAAGGGCGCTGCACTAGCCCGCAATGCGCGCGTCTCACCCAGCTGGTGGTGGCAGCCACCCGGAGCGGGCGCCTGCCCCGCTGTCCTGCTTCTGGTTGCCGCTTGGATGTGGCGCCGAATGCACATGCACATGGGCAGAGGGCCGCCATTGCGGGAGCGCGCAAGTGTGGCAGGGCGGGCGCTTCAGAAGTCAGTTGTGTGGCTCAATCCAGGCACCAGGATGTACGCTCGAGACGGTAAAGGCCTGCGGGAGCTGCCGCCTGGGGCCATGCATGCGCCGCCCGCTGTGCCGGGCCGGCGTGCGGCACCAGGCAGGTGGCGCATGTGATGCTGGCATGAAGGCTGCCCAGAAGCTAGGCCCAGTCATGGAGGGACTGAATCTCAGCATGCTGCAAGCCCTTCTTGCTTCAGCAGATTGAAGCAGAGGGGGCACGACTGTGTTCCGCGCACCCCAGCTTCTGTCTGCCCCGCCTGCAAGATGGTGTTGCTGCGTTTTCTTCTTTTTTTTGGCAAGAGGGGAGCTTTCGGACGACCAAACATGAGTGTGTGTCAATTCACAGCTCACTGCTCACAGCTGGGCGGGCCCATTTGCCGGGCAGGCCCGCTGCTGCGCACTGCACGCTTGCCGCACTGGGGGCGGTGCACCGGCGGTGAGTCCCCGCCCCGCCTCTACGGTCGCTGTGGCTACATCAAACAGTGCTGGCGGGCATCGGAATCCGCTCCTGCTTCAGAGGGGGACTTGCCCCTGCTGCGTGCTGGGGGAGCGCCTGCTGCTGCAGGCAGCTGCTGCAGGCCGCTTCACCTGTATTCGCGTGCACTGTTGTTCTTGCACCAAGCACCTCTGGGGTGGCCTCTGCAAGCCCCCACCGGCAGCACAGGGCGGCCCGTCCTAGGGTGCCTCGAGTCGCTGGTGCCTCGGGTGCTGCAAGCTTTCTGCTTGGCTGCCCTCCTTCATCTTCCCAAAGATCTCCCCCAACCGGCAGTGTGCGCGCCTGGGTTGGCGCGGCCTGCAGCAACTTCAGCTCGTGCCGCGGCCCAAACAAGGACCCCCCGCGGCCAAGGCCGCTCGCGCCCCGCAGCCAGCCCATCACCATTGCGCGGCGTCAGCTCGATGCCATTCTAACATCGCATCAAGCACCAGCGCGCGGTCGTCAATCCGGCCTGAACAACATGTTGGGCTTGGAAGAGTGCTACGCGCGGCTCCCCCTGGCCCAGCAGCCCTGGCAGGCATCCAGCAGCGCAGGTTCGCACCCGGCGGGCGGCGACCAGCACCCCTGCGGGCACCCCGGCACCCAGCAGCACCCCGCGGCGGCGGCGGCGGCGGCAGCCCATGCCCGCGCCGCGCCGCCCCCGCTGGCGGCCCTGCTCCCCGGCCGCCACCCGCAGCAGCAGCGGCGCACCGCGTGTAGCCAGGGCTGCATGCACTGCATCGTGTGCATCGAGCTGAGGAGCTACCGGCACTGCCTGTCGGGCACGCGGCCCAAGGGGTGAGCACACCTGCCGCCACAGATACTTGCCGGTACTCGATTCCACTACTTGAACCCAGCCCCTTTCCACCCCAACCACGCCCCTGACCTGCCTGCTGAACCAGAGCCTGCACGTTGCACGCCAGAGCTGCTGCCACGCTCTCGCCGCCGCAACTCACCCCACCCGCCCGCCGTGCCTGTGCTCATCGCAGGCCTGCGCCGCACCACCAGACGCGCTCGGCGGCGGCCAGCAGCGCCGAGGAGTGGTGGCCCTCGGGCCTCTCCACCCCTACCCTCTACTTCCACCTGCGCCGCCGCCAGCTGCACCTGCAGTACCGCCAGGCCGCCACCCCAGAGTGAGTGTGGCTGGGAGCTGGGGCCGGGCTTGGGCGTCCCACCGGGGTGATTCATGCCACGGTATCCGCCAGCTGGCGCGTTCGCCCGCCTGCCCACGCCCTGGCCCCACCCCCCTCCCCCCCTCCCCGACCTCCGACCTCCGCAGGGGCGGCGCCAAGCTGTGGCGCCCCACCAGCGACACCTGTAATGACGCCTCGCCGCTGCTGGCGGCCAGGGGGTGCCGCCCGTTGGGCCTGCTCATCCCCACCCTCTACACAAACGTGCACCAGGTGCGCGGCTGGCGCCGCCGCGCGCGGCCGCGCGGGCTGCCTGTGCTTGCTGCAGGGGCCGGCATGGGCAGCCTAGCCTGCCTGGCTGGGAGTGCCCGTTTCCCGGCCTGCCAGCTCAGCGCCCCGCCTGCCCCCTCCGCTCCGCTGCCGCAGACCGACAGCAGCGTGCAGCTAGTGGGCATCAAGACGGTGCCCCTGATGCTGCTGGCGCCGCACGCCTCTGTTGCCCTGGCCGCCTCGCAGCAGAGCACAGGAGGCACAGCAGGCGCAGCAGGCACAGCAGCAGCAGATGCGGCGGGACAGCTCCCAGCTGCAGCTGCTCATCTGCTGCTCCAAGGACCTGCCCCGGCTGCCGTCGGCGGGACGGGAGCAGCTTGCGCCGCCCGCCGCCGGCGCCGCCAATGCCGACGCTGCCGCCGCGGCACTCGCGGCGGCGCCGCTGCCGGCGGCGGCCAAGCGAGGCACGCTGGAGCTCTGCCGCACCGCCTCACTGACCAGCCCCGCCAAGCGGACGCGGGTGGAGGCCGCGCCTGTGCGGCGGCGGTCGTCGGCTGTGGTGGTGGCGCCCGCAGCGCAGCAGGTGGTGCCCCTCCCCTGGTGGCTGGCAGCCCAGCAGGCAAGTCAAGCCATGCGTCCGCCCTGTCATGGCTCCACCAGCGCTGCAGTTTTTGTGTGGCTGTGTGTCTGCTGCTTAAGCAAAGCTGCCACCGGGCCATGCACGCTGCGCACCGGCCTCACCTCTGCTGCCCCCTGCTCGCCCCCTGCTGCCCCTCCTGCAGAACCAGGCAGGCCAGCAGCAGCAGCACCTGGCCCTGGCCCAGCACGCCCAGCACGCCGAGCAGCAGCAGCAGCAGCAGCAGGCCCGCGCCCATGCCCAGCAGGCGGCGGCGGCGGCGGCGGCGTTGAACCACCTTGCCCGGCACAACGCCGCCGCCTCCCCGGCCCCCTCCAGCATGCAGAGCAGCCAGCTCTCCACGCCCGTCTTCCCGCTCAGCGCCTCCCAGCCGGCCTCCGCCGCGGGCGGCGCGCTGGCAGCCGCCGCGGCGCTGTCCTCCCGCAGCACCGGCAGCTACTTCTTGGCGCCGGCCCACAGCCAGGCCAGCTTCTGCCTGACTTCCACCTCCTCCGCCGCCAGCGACGTGCTGGGCGCCTCGGGCAGCGCCGCCCTGTCTGCCACCAGCGTGCTGCCGGCGCAGCCGCCGGCAGCGGCAGCGGCAGCCGCTGCGGTACTGCCTGCAGGCCACCAGGACCTGTACCGCCTGCTGGACATCAAGGCCCAGCGTGCGGTTCAGTGCCCCGAGGTGGCCATATGCATCCACGAGCAGCTGGCCCCCGCCCCCTCCAACCTCCTGTCTGCGCTGTCCCGCCTGGCCAGCACCCTTGGCCTGGGCAAGCCCTAGGCCCGCCCCCCCATTGGCACTTACTTACGCTGTACCCCGCTGTATCCTATTACACACGGAGCGCCGCGCATGGTGCCGGCCCCACGCCTACCCACCGGTGTTGCTTGTTTGGCTGCCCACATTGTGCTGTTGCGCCCGTTTTTCAATCTTTCATTCGCCTGCCGCGGCCGGATTCTCGGCCGAGGGGGGAGAGCCCCCGGCTTCTCCCAATACCCCTGCACCCGGTTGCTGCACCAATTGACCCTGATTCGGGCCACCCCCTCCCTTTCTTTCTTCATTCCTTAAACCCCCAAACGCAGGTATTCTGGTTCACCCCCGTTGGAACGGCAAGGCTCATTGGGGGCAGGTAACCCATGGCACAGAAATCATCAGGTGCGGGTGCCCAACAATGAGAACAACAACAAAAGCAGGATATAGCAACACACAGGCGAGCGTGGCTGGCCACCTGCCAGGAGGCTATAAAGGCCGGGCCCCGAGGCGCCGCTGCCAGCTCAGGCGGGCGAGCGCCGCCGCCGCTCCTGCTCACGGCTGCGGCTGCGCCGCTTCTGCCTGCCGCCGTCCTCGTAGTATTGCGCCGCAGCGGCGTCACGCTGGGCCGCCTCCGACAGCCGCGCGCGCTTGTGCTGCGCGCGCTCGCCGCCGCCCTTGCCGCCCTTGCTGCCCTTGCGCCGGCCGCCGCCGCCGCCGCCCTCCGACTCGCTGCTGCTGCTGCTGCTGCCGGAAGAGCTGCTGCTCCCGCTGCCGCTGCTGCTGCTGCCGGATGAGCCACTGGTTTCAGACGAGGAGCCGCTGCCTCCGCTGGAGGAAGAGCCCGAGGACTTGCTCTCGCTGTCGCTGCTGCTGCTGGAGCCGCTGCTAGAACTGCTAGAGCTGCTGGAGGAGGATCCAGAGGTGTCGCTGTCGCTGCTGCTGCTGTCGCTGCTGCTGCTGCTGCTGCTGGATGAGCCGCCGCTGCCGCCGGCCTTGCCCCGCCCGCGCTTCCTGTGCTTGTCCCCCTCCTCCTCCTTCTTGCCCGCTGCCGCCTCCTTGTCGCGCAGCTCCGGTGGCAGCTCAGAGGCATCCAGGAACTTAGGGCGGGACTGCAGACACGGAGGCAGGGAGCAGGGGAGGTGGTGATCAGGGGGCGTTGCGAGCAGGGGGCGCCAGCCAGGTAGGCAGGGTGGCCATGCAGGCAGGCACGCAGGCAGGCAAGCCAGGGTGGCCAGCCAGCAGCCGACGAGAAGCTGGGCATGGGCAGAGCCTGGGCCTGCTTGCACACCACGCTGTGCCCTGCTGCGCTCCCTGTGTTTTCCCGCTGCGGCTGCAGGGGATTTGCCGCCTGCACCCACCCGTGGGTTCTTCAGCTGCTGGGTGCGTGTGGGGCGGCTCTGGTAGACCGCATCGCCCTTGCACTCGTACGTCCAGTGCCCCTTCTGCAGGCAGCGCTGGCACGTGGGCACGCCGCCCTGGTCCTGCCCAAACCGGCTCTGCAGGCAGGTGGGGCCAGGGAGGGCAGCAGTGACGGGGTGAGCTGGAGGCACGCGGTGCATGCAAACTGTGAGGGGGCTCGGGCAGCGGCAGGGCGGGGGCGGCGGCCGCCGGCCAGTGCCGTCGGCGCCGGCCTCAGCCGCCGGCGCCGGCGCTCCGGGTTGGCTGCGCAGGCTGCTAGGGACTCGCACAGCCCCTGCCAGCGGGCTATGGGGCGAGGTTCTTGCCTGGTGATAGGAGCGCCCCGCCATTTGGTGGGCACCGCTGCCTATCAACCCCATGTTTGAAAGCTAGCTGCTCCTGCGACAGCACGCGGCCGATGGAGGAGGGTCCTCTTGGCGGGGCTTGTGATGGCGCTGCGCTGCTACGCCGATGGGCCGGCGGTGGCGCTGTCAAAGCGCTGTGCAGCGTATGGAAACGAGGGAAGACTGCAGGGACTTGCTGTGGCCCACGAATTCGGCCCGGGCGCCTTTCTTGTGGTGCTGACTCGGTTTGTGGGCTGTCAGAGCGTCTGTGGATGCCATAAACCATCTCCCAGGACTTGTACCAGCTCTCCAACACTTGCTGGCCCTGTTGTTAGGCCACATGCTCAATGCGGGAGCCACTGACGCCCGCTGACTTTCGCTGTCGACAGGCCGATGTGCTGTCACAGGCGAGCCATCTGCCGGACAGCCTTCCCCGCGCAAATTGTGTACAAGGGTGCTGCCGCCCACCCGCTGCTTGCTCGCCCGCCGCTGCCGCTCGTCCGCCCCTCCCCAATCAAACTCCTCTCATCCGCAGGCCTCCAAGGTAGAGGACTTCATCAGCCGCAGTCAGGCAGCAGGCCGGCAGCAGCAGGCGCGCACGGCATGGCTGGTGGCGCAGCAGCGGCTGGAGCAGGAGGCGGCAGACTGCGAGGCGGGGCTGGTAGGGTGGCTCGAAGGCGGCTCCATTGCTGCTGCAGAGCTGCACAGCAGCGCGAGCGGCGACTGCAGTGCTGAGCCATCCGGCGGCAGCAGCAACGCGCCGGCAGCGGATCAGCTGCTGCTGGGGCCTGATGCCAGCGACGCGCTGCAGGGCGCCGTGGCAGCGGCAGCTGCGGCGGCCAGCTTGCTCAGCGAGCCTGGTGGTGGTGCAGCGGCCGCTGGCCCTGCTGTTCTGCTGGCAGTGGAAGAGCATGTGAAGGAGGCGGGTCATACCTTGGCGAACCAGCTTGCCGCAGCTGAGGATGGCGCCAGGCGCCTGCTGAGCGGGGCGCGGCAGCAGTTTGCGGCTGCCTGCCGCCCGCCAGGCGGCGACAGCTCAGCCAGCCTGCAGGACCGTGTGCTCCTGCTGTGCGCACAGCACCCATTGGCGGCACCCGCGTGCACAGCACAGCTGCTGGAGCAGGCAGCAGAGGCCCAAGCGTGCCACAGCCGGGCAATGCAAGAGCGGCGGACCGCCTGGAGCGCTTTCCAGGCTGGCACGCTTTCCAGGCAGCAGCAGCCTCTTGAACAGCCAGGTGCTGAAAGCAGCCACAGTAGGGGTGCGCAGCTGGTGCTGGAGCCATTCTCGCCCGCGGAGCCTCCGCTGGAACTAGTCAGCAGCGGCAGCGGCAGCAGCCAGGCGGGGGAGGGGAGCGAGTGCCTGGCAGCGGATGGGACAGACGACGGCTGGAGCTCCGAGGAGCATGCCGTGTTTGTGTGGGAGCGGCGCCTGTGCATGGCACCCGGCGGGGGCGGCGAGGCCGCGCTGCTGCGCCAGCTGGCGGCGCTGCTGCCGGGGCGCACCCCGCTGCAGGTGCGGGCGCACGAGCGGTGGCACAAGGAGGGCAGCCGCCTTTGGGGCGCTGTGACCCAGGGCGAGGCGGGGTGGCGGCAGGAGCAGGCCGTTTTTGTGGCGGCGGCAGAAGCGCTGCTGAGCGAGTCGGAGGCTGGCTGCCTTGCAGCTGCCGATGCACTGGTGCTGCACCTGGAGGCTGTGGCCACCAGCCTGCTGTCAGCGGCAGCACTAGACCACCAGCGAGCGGTCAGGGGAGAGCAGCAGGCATCCGAGTTGGAGCACCGCTGGGCTTCGGCGGCGGCCGCCGCAGACCAGCAAGCAGCTCGGCGTCGGGCTGCTGCCGACCAGCGGTGCCGCCTGAAGCAGCTGCTTGCGGAGCACCGGCACCGGCAAGAGACGCAGGCAGCAGCCGCGCTTGCCGCCGAGCAGGCTGCTGCAGCTGCGGCGGCTCGAGAGGCAGCGGCGGCTGCTGCTGCGGGGAAGCAGAGGGTGCAGCTCCGGCAGCAGCTGGTGGCCGCAAGGGGCGCCCGGCGGCAGCTGGAGCAACAACAGAGGCAGGCGGCGGAGCAGCGGCGGCAGGCGGCGCTGGAGCAGCTGCGTCGCCAGGTGGCGCCCGCCGTGCCGCGGGATGCCGCCCGTGCCATGGCCGCCACCCAGAGCAGCGCTGCGGCGGCAGCTGCCCTGGGCCGCCAGCACGGCCTGTTTGCTGGAGCCCTGGGATTCACTGCAGACCAGGTGCTGCAGGACCAGCGGTTCAAGGTGCGGGGTGCTGGTGGCTGGGCCAGGGTGGCATAGCCCTTGTACACGCGGCATCAGGCGTGAATGCACGATACACGGCACCGCAGCAGCATGCATCGCATGCGGCACACTACAGCCTGCCTGTCCTCCCTGCCTGCTGGGTGCAGGTGTATGAAGTGCTGCGGGCGCTGTCGCTCCACTCCACTGCCGCCGGGCGGCTGGCGATCGCGGCGGCGCGCCCCGCCCACCCGCTGCGTGCCGACACGCTGACCTCGGAGCAGCGGCAGGGGATGGCGGGGCTTGGTTGAATTGATGGGATGGTGTAAACTTGAGCGCTTGAGGATTGAGAGAGGCGAACCGACGCGGCGGCATGCCCGGGTGGCGGCATGCTGTGGCGGCGCTGAGCCAAGAGGATGGGGCGCCCCAATCTGATGGGCAATTGGCCATCGCGGTTGTGCATTGTCACTCTGAAGTGCGCCCAGGGCTTTTGCAAGGCGAGATAAGGTTTCGCCGACTTGCTGCTCAGCCAAAAGGCGAGCGTGTCGTTAGCCTCGATGGCTGCCCATGCCACATTCAGCGGGGTTAACACAAGACAGGGCGCCGCACCCGCGCCCCTGCCGCCCCGGCTCACCCGCTTGGCAGCAGCAGGGCTCAGGGGCTGTGGGCACCCGGCTCGCCCCAGCAGCAGGCAGCAGCGCCTCCAGGCAGCCCAAAGGACGCCAGCGGCTCGCAGGCTCGTCGTGCGGCCAGCTGCAGCCCAGGTGTGCGCCGCCGTGTGCCGCGACCGCCTTGCCGCCGCTGCAAATGCACTGTAATACATACCCTGCAGCGCAGCGACACACATGGCCGCCATCCCTGATTGCAGGGCAACGGCAATGGCGCTGGTGCGGCGGTGAAGGGCGGCAGCGTGAGCCTGGTGCTCCTGGCCGGCGGCGTCGGCAAGCGCATGGGGGTGCGCCCTGGCTGCTCCCCTGCTCCCTCTTTGCAGCGCTGCTGCTTTCCCGCTGATATACTTCTCACAAAACGCACTGCCCTAAAAGGATCCACACTCCACCTTCAGCTGGCTCTTGCGCGAGCAGTGGACCATCCCTGCTGACCGTCCGCCTGCCCCTTCCCCCTCCCACTCTCGCACCTCTCCCTCAACCGCAGGCCGCCATCCCCAAGCAGTACCTGGAGCTGCAGGGGCAGCCCGTCGCCACCTACAGCCTGCAGATGTTTGCCGGCATGCCGCAGGTCGGCGAGGTGGTGGTGGTGTGCGAACCGGAGTGGCGGTGAGACCCGCTGCGCAGAGGAGGAGGCGCCCGTCGCGCCGCCTCTCCCCGCTCGCCTGCAGCGCTGCCGCGCGCCTCTCCTGCTCCCTCCCGATGAGCGGAGGGGAAGGGAGGGGCCGCGGATGAATGGTTCGATACTCAAAAAGGCGCAAACA